AATGTTAATATAAATCATACACTGTCAGAATAAAAAGGCTGTATTTTATGCATGCAACAATCACTGCAGTCCCTTATGAAAATAAACCATGGTTTTACTAAAGTGACCGTAGTTCAACTGTAGTATTTGTAGATTGCCATGGTTACCAGTAAACATATTTTAATTATAACCTAATAAGTTGCAGTTAAAGCATATTGAATGTTAAAATGCATTTCAAATATAAAGTTAAGTGGGTATCATTAACCATTTTACTTTTAGTAATTTAATAATTTCATAAATTTCATAATTTATAAAGTTCAGTTTAGAAGTATCGTATCGGTATCGATATCGGTACCGATGATATTGGCCTTTAAAAGTATCGGTATCGTATTGAAAATTCACAATAAACAAATTGAAATGGTAGCTTGCATAGTTTGAGCAGTTACATGTATTTAAATTGAGCGTTAAACGTTCATATTGATCATGTTCTATTCTGTAATGTTAATATAAATCATACACTGTCAGAATAAAAAGGCTGTATTTTATGCATGCAACAAGTTAACAAAGTTAAGTGGGTATCATTAACCATTTTACTTTTAGTAATTTAATAATTTCATAAATTTCATAATTTATAAAGTTCAGTTTAGAAGTATCGTATCGGTATCGATATCGGTACCGATGATATTGGCCTTTAAAAGTATCGGTATCGTATTGAAAACAAAATAAGTGGTATCGCCCATCCCTAAGGTGGTGTAAACATGTTATTTATAAATTCATGTTCTTGGCTTTAATTGGAGGGATTCATCAGTGTCTGTTTTGTAATTTTCATCAGAATGTAATAACTAGATTTTTAGCTGCTGCTGTCCACGATGCAGCCGTTGACGAGTAAATGCTCTTCAGATCTGACTTCATTCTGATAAGAAACACACTTAACATTGTTATTTCCACTTTTATTAATATGTCAGGTTGAACTCTGATTCATATCGACTTTAACGATCAGCAGAACCCAGGGAACAATGGATGTTGATTGAGAGTCAGGATTTAATGAGTGCTGCTGTCAAACCAAAGCAGATCAGAATGAAGATTACTGCTAGAATAAACAAAAAAATTACAATATTATGCTAAAGTAAACATGAAACGAAGTTGGTGTCCTATTTCACTGACCTAATGTGACCAGTTCTGAGTGAAACTGGGTTTAAGGGCGACGTTTTGTTTTAGAGAAGACAAAGACTGCCTGTTTTTTTCGTTTTTTTTAATGCAAAATGTAACTATATTACCATCTGGCTCTTTA